GGCTGGTTCGGCTAGCCAAGTTTTATTAATATAACGGTGTTAACACGTAAAAAAATTAAAACCACTGTGCATTACATTGTGCTCAGTCAGTAGTAAATCCCATTTCCATCATCATTTAACAGCAACTTACTTTTTTTTTTTAGAGGCACTCCTGATATTCTTAGAGAATAATGCACTTGAGATATTTTTTTTTACTTTGTTGTTTTGTTGACTCTGCAAGCTCACAGTTGCCACACCACCACTCCTCACACCGACACCTCTTCATTCGTTATGCAAATATACTAATTATGTCGTGTCCTTAGTATTAGCTGCAACTGCCGTCATCCCTTAAACTGAGTTCTTACCTTCCACACAGCATGTAAACATTAAAAAATAACATTTTATTAAAAAATAATTGCATTCAGTGCTCTACCTGTTGTTATGCATACATGTTCCCATTTAATAACAGATTCAGGAGATTTTTGAAGACACTAGATCTGGCGTACAAACGAAAATTTAAAAAAAACGCAGCTAAATCTTGACCATATGCATCTCCCATCAAGTGAAGTCTCTGCTACATAAAACAGCAACGGTTAGAGATTGGTTTCATAGCAAAACTTTGAGTTTTCCTGTTCACTGAAACACAGTTCATTTCTTTATGCAGTTTATATTCAAGGATTAAAATTGAAGGAGTGTGAAATTAAGACAATAACTTCAGTTCTCCAGTTCGTCAATGATTTGGAACATCAGTTACACACTTGAAGAACTGCCAGATGCCCGACTACTTGATTTCTTATAAAGAAGAATTAGCACTTCAGTGAACTCCTCTATTTAAGGAGCTTTTATATCACAAAATAGTTCAGTCTGAGAAAGATATACGAAACATAGAAGTATAAGAATGTATCTGAAAAATATTTCTTTAATTTTAGGCTCCATACTAAAGATATCCTGAAAGAGAAGAATGAAAAATGCACTTGAGAAAATAGGGAAATTGGAAGAGGGAAAAAAAAAATCCTTGTCAGTTTTGAAAGAATTTTGTATCTGGCATTGATCTTAACCACAGCAGAAGAAACTACAACCAGCAAGTACTCTATGGGCTTTTCATCAATGTTCCTCTTACTAATAAATAGGTTCCCATAGCTTTTGAAATAATGTTGTATTAATGATAATCTAAAATAAGGCATTTCTGATTTAATAGGATAGTCACATTTCTCTCCCCTAAGCATATATTAACATAGCATCTCAATGTTCTACAGATTCCAAAATCACTGAAGTTAGCATTTCTAGCTACCTGAGAAAAAGTGTTTTGGATTCATACGGAATGCTTAAATATGTAATGCTTATGCAACAACCCCCTGGCTTATTAAAAACTAGAGTTAAAGACTGAGTAAATGAACTCTATCAGTTGATGTACTAACGGAGCTTTTAACAAAAAGCTGAGTGAAAAGTAAAATAATGTTTTAGATTATTAAATACTGAGGATTAGCAGGACGATACTGCTAGGTAGCATGAGTGATAGCTTTTACACAAGCAGTGTTTGTATCCGACATCATATCCTTAAAAAGAGTACATTTTCATTAAGTATAGACAGATTTCCTTTTACGTTACACCTACAGAAATAAAGAAGAGGGCTCAACGGAAATTAAAAAAAATTTCTTCCAGTGTCCAACAGAAGATACAGACAATATAGACTGGCAAGTTAACAATTACCTTTCTGTAATTAAAGATACCCAGCATCTCCTACACTAAGGCCCAAGTTACCCACAAGCACCCTTAAACTACACAACAAATACTTCTGAAGTTCAGATCCATAAAGGATGATCTACTTCACCCTCCAAAAGACACATACTGCAAATATCTAAGAGCTCTCAATCTCTGTAGTGCAAGTATCTAAGAGCTCTCAACCTCTTACTTAATTCTACAGTAGGAATTAAAGGTGATCATAACCTGAGTTGCTTTAGCTTGTCCATAGACAGGACCTCTTTAAATAAAAGAAAATTAGAATTTTCAAGGTTGTTTTGACTCTCTTGTGAGTTCATCCTCCTGATTCATACCGTCCTTTCTAGAATAGGTACATGGTGTTTTCCCTATCTTCCTCTATAAAACTGGACAATTACTGTGTTAATTAGCACAAAACAGGAAGCTGCACAAGCAGCACAATGATTAACACAAATGTCTTGCTATTGCTGACTGATTTTCAATTTGCCATAAACAAACAAAACAGCCATTTTCCCTGAGAATCAATCCAAAAAGCAGCCTCTTTTCACTCCTTGTAAATTAGGCCTGTAGTCATATTTCCACAACAGACTAGTCTATCCCACTCATGTTCTGGTGGGGTTATTTTTTGTATCCTATTATTTTGGCAAGCTAAGATAAAAGAGCTAAGCATAAGGTTCTGGACCACATTGTTATAGATGAGTTGTCTCCAAAGACTTAACAGGAGCAGCATCAACCTCTGATATCCTATGCACTATTCAGCTTTTTGGCACACAAGTTAAAACAATTACAAACAGTATTACAAACATGTAGAATTCATTAATCTCATCATATGTACACACTGATACACTCCAGTTAGTATAAAAGTGCAGTCAACTTTGTGCCCCGCAAAGACATACTGGTTTCATTTACAATGATTTCAAGTGTAGGTGAAAGATTCCATATTAAACTTTTTCCATTTCCAGTGTTTAAGAACTGATAGAATACTGCAGCGAGGTTATTCCTGGGCAACCAGAGAAATGCTCCGAAGATAATCTGCAGATGCCATTATAAAATCAGTCCATTCCTTGGCCAGCTCTTCAACGGAGACTTCCTCCCCCCCATATTCCTGTGGGAGAATTCTGACTGGGAAGTGTTCGGTCAGACTCTGCATGTAATTATATCCATGCATATACACCTAAAACAAGATACGAAAATCATTTACTAGAGCACGAATGCTATACTGTTAGGTGAAAACAGGCAGCAAAGAAACAGCGCAAGAGCTGAAGCCCACCGCTCAGTTCCACTAGACAAGTACCCTTATTCACAAGCTCCTTAAACGAGTACTGTGTGTGTTTCACAGGGGTGCTCAAACTCTGTCCTGCTCAGTACCTGCAGCTCGATGCAGCATGGGCTACAACCCAAGAACTGCGTTTTATGCTGCTGCGAGCACAGAGGCCAAAAACAAACGCTTGTTCCAGACTGGTTCAGCAGCACTGGTGAGGGTGCACACTACACCCGTACAGCTGAAGTGAGCTAACCGTGCGAAGACTGGGGTTTGGTCTTGTCATGATAGATACGTACTTGCTTTTCAGTCATTTCCAAGAAAAATGTGTTTGTTTCCTGGCCATGACTATCTCATTCTGCCACATGTATTTAAAAACAACATTAAGCAGTATGTATATAGGTTCAGACGGGTGCCAAGGATGATATTCAGAAGAGTCTGTATCTCAGTCGTTATGTTTCAGTTCCAACTGAATTTAGGTCCTGGACTGCTCCTCCACTTCAACTCTTGTAATACTGTAGTTTTGGTTCTTCTCTCCTTGCTTTATCGTATCTATTCTGAAGCCTTGCTTATTCCTTCCAGCCAGACACTTTTATAGGCCTCTTAATAACACCTGACAAGAATTTTCTGCAATTATTATTATTACACAAAGACTACAAAAATATGCACTTAAAAGGTACTTGGCTGCCTTTTGTCTAACACTTCCTCATCAGGAAGTGAGATAATGAATGAATAGTAATTATTCCTATGACGGTATGGGGAACTGGCCCTTAGAGGTCTTTTCTTCAGAGCTTGCAACTCTGACCTAGGAGACAAGCCAATCTGGTTCTGTTCCATTCCATGAACTGGGACATCTGGCTTGTTTTCTTTTAGGCCTTTACTGTCCATCTGCTCTCTTTTCTGCTTTTTGAGTTCTAGCCCGAGATATTCTGAGTTGGATGATGTGACAGGGACTTTGGGTTTTTTCCCCCCACAGATATTAATGTGAGAGAAGAAGGGCCACAGCATCAGGCTGCTGGAACATACTCCCTTTTCTTGAGAGCGAGGGGCTTCACAAGGCTGGCAGAAACAATCTTGCCTCTGTCCCATAACAAAACACACATGCTAGGAAAATGGGACTGGCAAATTAACAGCTAACAAGTGACAAGAAAAATCTGGACCTCCTGCCCTGGAGTGCAGTGGGTACTGCAAATGCACCAGATCCACGTGCTGAGACACGGAGGCTTCAAAGTGGGAATAACAATAGGCCTGGCTGCTTAGTTTGTACCTCAGTCACCCTGTTAACATTTCACAGTATTTCCTTTTGTGCCAGCTGAAACTTCCAATATTCTACAATAAACCCGAATTCTTGGAGTTCTTTTGCATCCAAATACAAACAGGTTTTGAGATTTAAAACTGCAAAACAATTTGAAACAACTAAGAAGCTATTTGGAAAAAAAAATTTTGAACTTAAGCCTGACTTATTTTTGATGCATAATGCCTCTGCAGGTCTTTCAGAACTACCAAAAAAAAAAAAAAATTAAAAGGTTGTCTTCCAGTAACTGTGCACAACTTGGAGCATAACATCACTGCTCTGTGACAAAGTCTCACTGTCATTTATAGGCGGTGTGCTGGGAGATCCAGGACCTACTTCCTCCTAATTTTGCAGAAGAATTGCTGTGTGACCTCAAGCAAATTTTTTAACCTCTATTTGTCACAGTGGTTTTTGTCTTTAGAGGGATGGTAACAGCAACCACTTGCAACTCTTATTATTGATAACTGCAAACACTTTACAATTAGATTTTGGAGGCCTGTATGGCACTAACACCCAAGAATGATTCATGTTCCTCAGTTCTCAAGAGTACCAGATCCTAAGGGAAGTGCTACAGCTTGTCATGTAAGGGGCTTGAGGCAGAAAGAAATATTTGTGTGTACTCACCCGTTCCTTTATTTTTTCAGTGAGAAAAGGCTTAATTAGAGTGAAGACTGGATGGAAGAATAAAGGCTCATTTATCATGTGGATACCTCGAACTTTTAGTGGAAAGGAATCCTGTCAACGTGCATGAAAAACACCATAAAAAAAAATATTACTGAAAAGATTTTATTGTAAGGACAAGTCTGCAAACACTGTGTAGTCCATAGGTTAAAGTATTCCTCCTGACCTTGCCAATTCCTGTACTCTGGAGTGTTCTTAATTTACACAGCCCCAACAACACTTTGAAAAATCACATCTTGCTCCTCCCATGAAAAAGGAAAAAAACCCCAATCAGTATGTTGGGCTAACTATTAAAAAAACAACCAAACAAAAAAGTAAAACGAGAAAACCCTCACCAAATTGCACATATGTACATAAAGCTTGCACTCAGCCTTTCAGAGATTTTGCTGCTGTTTTACAAAAAAACTATCTGACAATGTGCTTTCATTGGCAATTCCCAGCCTGAATAAGTGAACATATACAAATATAAACCACCGAAGCTACTACCTTTAAGTTATATTTATAATTTAATTTAGAGACAAGCCTTGAAATTATTGGGAATTTGCCCAAGACAGGATTTCAGCTTTACAACAAGATTCCTGTCATACTGAAAAGAAAAAATACATTTGCTATACAGCCTTTATAATATGAAATACTTCTACTTGCATTCAATATTCATTTGGAAGTCCCAGACCTTTGAAAGTTAAAAGAAAATATGGCAGTGCTCAAAGACAGCATTATGCAATGGGGAAAATACAGCTCCCATTCAGATTCTACCTGATAACACCTCTGCAACCAAAAGTTTTCTGCTTATAAAAATGGTACTTCTCACAAATATTTCTCCCTACTAGTTCAGTAACTCTTCTCACATTATTTCATGCACTCTTCCATGGATAAAAAAACCCAAACCCCACACACTTAAGTACAACTCCTTTTAGATTTTAATGTAGGATAAAGACCTTAAAACTACCAGATTATAGGTTTACTGCATGTTATTTTGTCTTATTGCATACTTAAGTCTACTATCGTGTCTTTCACAAAAACAATTTGTGTTTGCCTAACGTAAAAGATTTTTAGATGACATCACTAATCTTACTAAGCTTTCCATTCCTTAGCTTGTATTTCCTTTCCATTAACTTCTGTTGTTTCATACAGGACAGTAATTTGCAAGACACATTTCTTAAGGAAAACATAGGGTTGAAATTAAGGTTTCTTAATTTTTACTTATAAGCATACTGAACAATGCTAAGACAATCTCTGGGTGTATATGAAATATATGAACCCAGTTAAAGTGCTGAAAAGAACCTGGGGGGGGGGGTGGTGGTGGGAGGGAAGTTAAACTCATTTCTCTTCTTAGAAAAGAACACAGGAAACAGTTTGTTTCTGTCTTTTTTTCAATACCTATAATAAACATTCAGAAGCTTGAAAACCATACAACTAATCTGAAATAGGTCAAGATGGAAACATCACGTTCAAAGAATTTCCTCGTTCGAGATAACGGATTGAAATATTTAGATGCAATTGCAAATCCTATTCTACCTCTCTTCTCTATTTCAATGTTAAAAAAATTACCAGAAAACTTGTTTACTACCTCAGAAATCAACTGAAACTCTCGCACATCCTGTTCTCATGAGATTGTATGAACATCAAGACTTCTTACTCTAGGTATGAAAAGTTGGAAATTCTTGCTGGTTTCACTGAAGTTTTACAGTAGATATCAAAAAAGAAGATCACCTGAAGTTCTGATGACTGAACTTTGATTGAATCTCAGATACGAACCTTACTGGATCAGAGCAAGAGTTGATTTCCCTGGCTCATGTCCACATGACTAACAGTTTTATTATCAGTGATTTTCAACCTAACTTCTGAAGGGAAATGGGATTATAGGACCATGTTGTAGCTTGCCCGTCAATTCTCTGATGTCTTCTTTTTCCCTTTTGTTCCTTCCCCCCCCCCAAATCCACTGTCAAATTTCAACCAAATTTGAGAGAACGGAACAAGTCTTAAAGACAGTAGAGTCCCTACAAGTTTTGTGAAAAAAAGGAGGTGAAGTAGCACTGAGTTGCACAAAATAACGCTCATGTTGGGGGGCGAAAAGCAAGCAGAACATAAACTTCATACATTCTGTTGGTAGCAGATGGATGGTCACGTAGCATCATCCATAATGGTAACAAGTTAGTACTGTCTTGCTCTTAACTCTTAGGACATGCTATTTCTCATCATCTCTCAGGCAAAAAAAGCTTTGAGTGAAGAGTTAATGCAGAAAAGAATGAAGACAGGAGATGAAACGGGATAATGAACACAGATCCTTACAAAAGTGGGTTTCATCTGCTCTTACACTCATTAAATTCTCATGGTGTAACAGGACAGTGAAGTTCTTGAGAAACATCAAAGGTTCAAGGACGTTTACTGCTATACAAGAACATATTTGTAGTCAAATTAAGCACAACTAATCTTACCTAACCCAAGCTATCTAACTTTTAAGGGATTTAAGATTTTGTTTTTTCAAGCTGCATAGACTCTTAAGAAGGTTTAAGGAAGGAAAAATTACCATAGCTGAAAAATTTACCAACAGCTGAAAAATGGGGATTTATAGCAATGAAGATGAATAAAGCAGTACATCATACTTACTGTGAGTACAGCAGCAATTTTCTTGGCCACTGCTGGACTGATCTGAAATGCATGAGCAAATCGCCACCCTTGAAGATCAAAGATAGCCTTGACTCCATTCCGCTGAGTCTCAATCTCCTTCACAATGAGTTCAGATGTGATAAGACTTACACGGAACACATCGTATGCTGTAAATAACTTGGGATCCCATTGTCCTGGAGAGTAAATACGTTGCACTACATTACCATGAGGATACCACGTACACTTGTATTTTTGCTTGCTACTGCTTCTGATGTGGTTCTCAGGAACAAGAAGTAACCAGCAATATCAAAGGCCCCAAAATAAACAGATTTGCCAGTACAGAAGTTATTTTGTGTGCCTGCTCAGTCACTGATCTTTTAAGCTCTTTTTGTAGATGGTACCACTTAATTGTAGACAGCTGTAGATGCCACCTAATGTAGTATGTTCCACCTATGGCCATAGCACCCAGTAGAAGTTTTTGACAGGAACAGCTTAAATTTGTAACAGTCATGCTAGCAGAAAGTACAGATCATCAATCCAATCAATTAATATATTTTTTTTCTTCAGTACAGTAATTCTGCCAAGATTCCGTGAATCTCACTTGTTTTTCTGAGGCCTGAGCGAAAGAATTGCATTGGATAAGCCTTAACCCTAGATGAAAGCTTCAGAGAGCACAACTTTCTACTAGACCAGCTGATAATAAAACAATACTTTGAAAGTTGGCAAAAATAATGTCTCTGTCCAAAACAAGCACAAAGAAATATGGTTACATGTGATCCTTTAACTACATCTTTCTAAGACTTTTGGGAGTGCAACAAACCAACCCAAGGATCTTCAGAGTGTTGTTGGATAGGGCTCTTTGGCTACATGTAAACAGTGAAAACCCAGTGCATTTGACATCAACATCCAAACTGAACATTGGCACATGACTAGAGGTACACCTTTTTTTCTGTTCTTTCTCTCCCCTCTGTGCTGCATCTGTACAAGTATCAGAGTCGTAGCACATGCCTTTGAAAATATGCATGGAAACAATAATTGTTGGGACACCCAGACCTAAATAACCACATTTCTTACAAGTTTTAGGCTTTTAACCTTAAGACTTCTTTTGACACAGACAAGAATTCCACTACAAAGAAAGTAAGTTCTTCAAAAAGGATTGTACAGCTTTAGCCATTCTAGTGTACAAGTCAAATGATAAAACTGTTACAGCTCAACAAACTCACCTTTATGTTAATGTAAAGGTATTTCTAACAGTGAACGTAAATACATTACTTTTCTATTTAAGACATTCTGATATTATCTGATTTTATCAACCACCAGTGTTGAACCCATAAAGTACTTTTATTTTGCTGCTGAAGTTGTGATAACTAAAACCAATAACAAACAAAAAACCACAATAACAACAAAAACCCACCAAACAAAACCATCAGTGCCAGAGCCAGGTGTGAAACAGGTCGAAGAAATTTTGTCACTCACCAATTCTATATATTAGAACTTTGCTTCCATGCGGGTCCCTTGATCTCAAGACTCCATGATAGCCAGCACGCAAAAGACCAAGAACAGAAGATGGTTGTAAATCTGCACTTATTTCTGGGCATTCAATTCTCCACTTCTGGTAATTCTTCAATAACTGGTAAAATAAATGTGGATGTCAGATAAGGATCAGGTATTACCTGCAGAGCACAGTTACAAATATGTTCTCAACATGTGGTTACAGTCAGAGGTTTAATTCATTAAATCAGCTATCATTTCATTGTATATTTTAAGCACATCATTACTAGAAGCAGAAGGTTGCCCTACGGTATCAAGTAGGTGAGTTGTTACAACAAATTTAGAATTCTGTCCAATTGTAAATGGACTGCAGTTGTCATTTTCTATCAGAAAATTGTGGTTTCTATGTAAAAAATACATCTAAATACATCCAGGTTTTCTTACTCAAGTTACATTTAGGGTTACTCAGCTTGATACTGCATCAGATTAATTCAGGTTTTGTTGAATTTAGACATGCAAAATTTCAGAGGAACATTGCCCTTCACACACCCCTGCAAAGCATGGGCCCATTTTGTACACAGTCATTAATAATTTTAGCTTACTATTTAAAACAGATAAAATCCTCAACACATCCAAAGAATACTGTCACTGTCCCTCCTACCCCCCCTGGAATGGCAAAATGTAACAATGTAGTGGGTCCATCACCCATCAGACAGCTTCCTTCCCCCAGTGTGGAAATAATAAGAACCTATTCTGCCAAAACCAAGATTCCACCCATTGCTGGGACCATGATCACTTGGTTCCTAAGGCTGGAAAGCAGCATCATGAACTAGTATGCCTCAGGTACGGGAAGGGCTGTGTGCTGAAAGGTGGTGGGAAGAGTCAATTAAAGGTGTTTCTTTCTGAGGTAACATCCACGCAGAGGAATTACAGATGATACTGTGAAAGGTCATCTTAGAGATGGATCATGAAAAATTGAGTTGGTGATATAGTAGCTCTAATTTCCAAGTCTAATTACCCTATCTCCTAACGATTAAGTGGTGGTAGAGAAAAATAACTGCTATGGCCTGCAACTAAAATTTATTTAAGACATTCTGCATAGGTAAGTGGGAAGCTATGCAGAGCTATCTACTAAAAAGCTTCCTCTCAATTTATCAACTAAATTCTGCCTCTGCTATATCACTCATGCTAAGTTCTCCAGCACTGAGTTTGGAGGATAGAGGGATAGCTCTGTAATTTTGTATTAAGTTTTCCTGAACAGCTACAGTTTAGATTTTTAACCCGAGACCTTCAAAGGAACGAAGGCAATCAGAATTTTTCATTACCTCATTTCACAATAAACTGAATGTAGGTTTAAATTTTAAAGGTAGCATGCACAGGCTTGCCTTTCAAATTGTTACTGTATTTCATCAAACAGCAAAACCCAAACTGATCCTCAGCATAGTTTCACAACATATATGTGTTCAGTACAATGAAACCATCAGCCAACAGTTTTTTATTTCTATTAAAATTAATTTCTGTTAATACAAATTAATTTCTTAATTACTCCATATTTTACAACAGAAACATTAGTTGTAAGAACTGTCAGCTCCAACTAATAAAACATAGCCTTAAATACATTACAGATTTCTTGTATGTATGCAAGTATCATTTTCTTCATCATTTTCACGGAAAGAATGGTCAGAAGGAACCTCAGTGGATACTGAATTCATCCCTTAGCACTTCACAGCATCAGCTACAGACTGAAATGGTCAGGTTAGAGCTGATCTACAGCTTAGAGGGAGACCTGACTATCCTGTACCTCATGGCATGATTGTGTTAGGTGATTAGTCTCATTTCTTAGCCTTCCCTCCACTTACAGATTTCTTGTATTGTTTTACAAAAACATATTTTTTTCTTCAGCTTAAGGCTTTTCTGCTCACATGAAGCTCCTGAACTATTCTGAAAGTCTCTCAAACAAGTTGTTGTGAGGAAACTACTTACAGCGCATTACTGTTTGTCAGCAGAATTTACTTAAAAATAGATAATTTCAGATCAGTATATCATCTATATCCTTCATGGAACCAGCATCTATGTATTTATAGGTACAAAAATGAAAAAGTTCATCTGCCACACCAGAATCCCATTTCAATTGGCAACGAGAAAGCTGAAAAACCCCTCATCCTAAACCATACTCTGTAGAAAAACCCTCATCCTAAACCATACTCTGTAGAAAGAAACATTTAACCATTAAGATAATTTTACTAGAAGCCTTTTTACTGCATTACGTCAGTTCTCGTCTACGCTAACTTATAAACAAAGAAGTTG